AAAACGTCTTTCCCTTTTCAGAGATGTCCCCTCCATGTTCCTGAGATAACTGGAAAAATGTACTTTTGCTTGGCAGAACTACTGTAAGTACTAGTTGAGAGGCACTTACTGACAAAAATCAGTGATCTCCCGTAAATATGAGTGTATTGGGATATTTATGGCTGCAAGTGACCCCATTTTCGATAAGATGCGTAGGGTTTGATGATCGTAATGTATATCTTTCAGTTTTTAAACTTTCAACTTTGTATTAACTGTAACTGTTTACAATGTCTATTTCTTTAAACCTTAAGCCCTCAGAAGTTGTAGCAGGCGAGCCTCTAACTTGACTTCCTTTGTTTAGAATTGTGAGATTATAACAATTATAGTTTTGTTATAGTTATTACCTTGTAATTAAAAATTGTTTGCTGAAGGCATAGTGAATGTTGTTGAATAATCTCCAGAACGAATTCGAAGTGATTATTCAGCAATGTTCAGAGACTGAGGCTAGTAATTGTTTTAGTATAATTTCTCAGGTTCTTTTGAATTCTGTTGTAATTTATGTAAAGGAAGAAAGCATTGCGCATATTTTGTTACAATTTATTTATTTCAATCAGCAAAAGCTGACAGTTTTTGAAATTTATTATTGGAAGGACATTATCACATCTATGCGTAAAAAGGTTACAAGAAGTCAAGTAGCACTCAGTTACTTAATCAAAGAGTATACTAAACAGCACTGTATTGATTTTATATTGCTCGATATTAATTCCATGTTATCCTATTTCCTTTTTTCCTTTAACCATTACGTAAACATTTTACGTTGTCCTTCAATAGCATATTGATTAAATGGTCGGTTCTATTTAGGCCTGGAGCTACTGTATTTCTCTTTTTTTCCAAGCTTTATTTTTAAGGTATCATCTTTATCGAAAGCATTTTTATCGTAAGAAAGTTTTTGTTTTGGTTTGGTTTTTTTTGTGTGTTCTTGTATCAACCAAAATTATGTAATAGTAGGATACTTTATTTAAATAAAATAAGATGAAGGAAATAGCAGTCTTTTTACAGAAATCAGATTAGAGTGGAGTTCGAGGTGAATAAGTAGTATAGGCCAACATTGCCTCGGTATGAAATTTGTACATTGGTGTTAAATCACTCTTCAGTTCATCTAAGTCGGTATTCCCAGAATATTGCTCTGTTTTGGGATGAATTTTGATTGAGCTTTAAACGTTCGTGTGTACCGTAAAATAAAATAAATAAAGAGATTAATAATTAAAAATAATAAATAACAAATAATAATAATGTGTTAAACCTTTTACTTTTATTCCATAGCCACCTTGTCTCTTCTGGCCGTTTAAATGTTATTTTATCGAATTTATTTGTATCGCGTGTTGTGCACGATAGAGCGATTCACAACATGGTAAGGAGGTTTATAATGGTAATTGAACTGAGTGGAGTGCAATTTGCGCTAAAATCATACGTCTGGTTTCAAAATCGAACGAGCGCGTAGCGTGAATAAATTGCTCTAATTAAAGCCAATCAGATTACATGGACCACCAGTGATTTCAAAATGGGTGCAATAAAACACGTTTAACACGCTGTATTTCCCATGTTTACTATCATTTCTATTTTCTCTGTTATCATTATTTTTTTACGGCGCGCGCGATCACTTGGAATTCCATCTAAATTTCTCCCACAATCGCGCGTTATTCAGGGATTTCGTCTTCAATAAACTAAAGAGTAATTAAATACTAACAAATACTACTAAGTGTCGTGCATTCAAGCTGGCAGACAACTACATTTAAATTTACATTTACATGTATTAGGTCGGTAAAATCGTTAAGATATCACACCAACCGTAAAGTCTCATAACAGAACTCTCACCAAGGTGATTCTTTTTCCTGCTTCGCTAATCTTTCCTCTCCCTCGCTTTCCGTAAGATTGAGAATGTTCGTAGGGCAACTTTACCGTGGAGTTTCATCGGACAGGCCAAACCTTGCCAATAGCTGGTCATCAAACTCGTCGCTGTCCTGAAGACTCAACTAGTATGGGAAAGAAAGAAAAACAAATGAGAATCCTTTCGGACAGCAGTGATCCTCACAATCAAACAGGAAGAGTTAAAGAAAGTGCTTCATCAAGACTGAACCAAATTGTCTCGCACGAATAACAATCAAATGCACGAGCCAATCAGTCACGGTCTCTTAGAAAGTGGAAAGTGGAAAGTTTGGAAAAGGTAAAACAAAATGGTTCATAAACAGGATACCCGCACCGGAATAAGCATTGTGTTCGAAAAGTCTCGAGTTTTCTGCTTTGTTTCCTTTTACAGATTTCTACGAAATTTTAAGTTACGTCTCGCTTGTTTACATTTTGCGCGGTAAGTTGGTGTGCTGGCGGCCAAAATTGACTCACTCGCGCATGCCTGACGTTTAATTGCTGTCACCTGTTAAAGGCCAAAGAGGTTTTTCAACTTATGACTGATCATAACTCGCGATATTTAATGGACAATGAACTGTTTTCTACTGTATTTTCTGGAATACATGATGAGGGTATAAAGATCAAAAGTCCCATTCCTCTGTTTCGCCATCCTACCCATTGTGAATGCTTACCGCTCTTACCATCAGAGAAAGTCTTATGCTTTTCTCCCAGGTTTTCTTGTGAGACTTGAGTTCTTGGGCGGGATACTATCCTGTCGTAGCCCCCCTTTTCTACCAAGGATTATGAATGGTTCCCGGCCAACTTTCGGGGAAGCCTGACGAAATGCTGGAGGGTACCTTTGCTACGGACAGATATCTCATCCAGGCGTAGTTTCAAAACTCCCACTCGTTTCATGCCACAGAAAGTGGCAGATTCTATCTTTTTCACTTTTTACGATGTATTACTGGAAAGCCACATAACTTGTGGTGCAATGAAGGAATCGAATCCTGGAGTAACAACCATTCGTGTCATTTTGATCTTCCGGGTGACGATTTGCTTGAACAGCATATTTGTTGGGGTAACTGACTGACTTTTTCGGCAGCCTGAATGGAAGTCATCAGAATCAAGTGAAATATTGTTTTCCTCTCTTGTTTGAGAGTGACTTTCGCTCATATTGTCATAACATTTGACAGACATGAAACTCTTAATTTGTTTGAGGTTGTCAAAACATCAGTCAATTTCTTTGTTACGTGTGTGAAGATGTTAAACGGAACCGGTCGATATGCAGGGTTAAAGGTAAAAAACCAGAATAAGTTTATTTTAGTAAGCAAAATTTCGTATATCTTCGTTAAACTAAAAAACGATAATTTTTTTCAATCTGACGTCTATGAAAATGCCAGTATTAAGTACATCACTTAATGAACTAAAAACTACTTGCAATACAAAAGTGGAAATAACAATAAGCTTAAAATTAACGATTGAGTGAGAAGAGAAACACCCATGGGAATTAATCACACATATTAACACTAAGGATGTTCCAGAAATCTAAAAAATATTTTCGCAACAATAATCGACAACAGCATTTTAAGGACGAACTTCAGTACTCTGCAAATAAAATATCTCAGTGTAATACGTAATTTCTGAACACATTTCTAGTCCATTCTATTATCAAACCTCTAAACACTGTTCAGTCGATGTCTTTTTTCGACTGTTAAATGTTCACTGTACTTTTACACCGGCTCGATATCTAAACAAGCTGTTCCTGAACCCATTTCAGCCGTTTAACAGACATTTTCTTTTATATTTGTCGTCGCTTTCAACAGGTATCAAACAAAGTATACTTGCGCCCATATGGCATGCACTACTTCGCAACGTTAGCTCGTCTCAGGGAAAGCTTTCTGTTCTCCGTTTAAACATAAAGAACTGAATTGATAAGATGTTAAGGGCTCTCAATTAGGAAACAGTTTCTTCTGACTGTCTCTGAACGCCGTAAACTGAATCCAAGTTGAAATGAAAGCGACGAAGCAGACTGAAAACTTCACGAATCACACTGAAAACTTCACTCAGATCCTTTTTAATATACAATTCCCTTTATTTCTCATCACCAATAGGGTAAACTATAAAAAGATGTTTAAACCACAAGCAGAATCCATCGTTAGCGATCTGTATCGTCTAACATCGCTCATCTGCTTTTTAACATCGCACTGCTTCAGTAATTGATTTGATTGATAGAACCGTCAGCGTTACGCGTCCCCTTTATAAAGCTTAGTGCACACGATAGAAATCTCGAGCTCATGATGTTATTGTTGCAAGTGGCATCGCTCGATTTGGCTTTCGATGAGGCGGTTTAGGAGTTGGTTTTGCTGATGTTGGGAGTGTATTATTATAGTTGGCATTGGTTGTCACGTAATATGACTAATGGTAGAAAGGGTGTTGATGGCAGTAATGGTACGTGTAGATTATGGGGTGGATGAAATTAGTAACAGCCATGGCTACTGTGGCAGTTGTGTGAGCAATTTGGGGCCAATCAAAACTATAACAAAATTCACGAACGTGATTGGTTATCACCAGCCCGATTTGAGCACTAATAGAACAGTGTACGCGTCATGCTTGTTATTGGACAGTGGAAAAGGACAATTAAAGGAACAGTTAACACTTCATGCCTGTGTTAGTGGACAGAACGCGTCATGTGCGCGCGCTGCTATCTCCCATTTTGCCGAGTTAACCTTTTTTTTTTTACGAAAAAGTATAACCGATGTCAAGTTTCTGTCTCAAATTTTGCCATAGTTTTGATTAATTGATAACAGGACTTCGTGTCGTCTAATTCTGTCTATAATCATACCAGCGATTAACAAATCGGAGTCCCGCTTCGCAGTCGTCCGCTTTTGGACAGGTTTCCTTCAGATGACGTTGGATTTCTTTGCCGTCATGTTTCATTTTGTCTCGTCTTTCGACGTATACTAGTGGTGTTTGAAAATATTAAACCACTGCACGCCCTGTGGTCACTTTAGTCTGTTTAGTTACTGTAATTTGTATAGTTTCTTTAATTTGTGTATTTACTGTCGTTGTGTAGTTACTGTAGTTTGTGTAGTCACCGTAGCTTGTGTAGTTACTGTAGTTTGTGCAGTAACTCTAGTTTGTGTAGTTACTGTAGTTTGTGTAGTTATTGTAGTCTATTTAGTTACTGTAGTTTGGGTGGTTACTGTCGTTTGTGTAGTTACTGTAGTTTGTGTAGTTATTGTAGCCTGTGTGGTTACTGTAGTTTGTGTAGTTACTGTAGTTTGTGTAGTTATTGTAGTCTGTGTGGTTACTGTAGTTTGTGTAGTTACTGTAGTTTGTGTAGTTATTGTGGTCTGTGTGGTTACTGTAGTTTGTGTAGTTACTGTCGTTTGTGTAGTCACCGTAGTTTGTGTACCTACTATAGTTTGTGTAGTCACTGAAGTTTGAGTAGTTACTGTAGTTTGCGTAGTTAGGTTAGAAAGCAGGCCTGATCTAATGCCCCCAACCCGGCCACCTTCCCGTTTGAAACACACATGTGAGAAGCCCCCCCCTCCCCTCCCTTCTCATGATCTTAATGCTATTGTGAAGCTTATTGATAATTACCTCAGTTAAATGTAATGTAGATAAATAGGTTATAGTTTTTGTTTTCAGAAGGGAACTAAATATTTGATAGCTAGAAATTGGAAATGCTTGAATTTATTAACTGATCTAATACCAAACTGTTTGTGACTCCCATTGTAATACTGGTTTTTCATAAAAACTCGAATATCTGCTAAACTGGAACCAAATAAATACTAATGAAATGTCTATTTCATTACAATACATTATTCATACGCTTTTAGTTCGTATACGTGGAAAGATGAAAGTAATGATCATTATCCTGTAAATGAAGAGCGACAGGCATGCTTAGATCAGTTTTCGTATTTTAAATTTCAATTTGTCCAACAGAAACAGCACTGTTTACTGCTAAAAAAAAACCCTGCAATAACCCAATAGGTCGTTAAGGAAATATTGTAAGCAGCTGAGAGAAATCTCAGTCGCCAATCACAGCAAAGTTGGATGGATTCGAGTGAAAAAGTACACCCATATAAAGTAAAAATAATAAAACTCCCCGAAGTACTGCGATATAACGCAAGAGACCAACTAAAAAGTGTTTTCATTTCGGCGTTTATTTCGTTAAGAGAGTGTTGCGAGTTTCTAAGATCAATCACAGAGGAAAGTAGAACAAAAGTAATGTAGTAATAGATTGCTTTTGACACTCTTTGCAACCTTCAAGCTTAAGGTTACAGTCAACAATATCTGGTAAAAATTTCAAAATGCCGGTTTTTTTTTTACTCTTTAGTTAAAGACAGCAGTTAAGTCTTAAAAAGGACGCGAGATACGGCTGAAAAATGCTTTCAGAAAAGAAAAAGGTGTTCGGTATCTCGATGTGCATATTTTGTTAGCGTCGCGTTCTGCACAGTGTAACAAAAGGGAATTTCTACCACCTCTCGCAGAACGGTGATAAACAAGAGTCTTCGTCAAACGGTCAAAAAAGAGAAAAGGCGCGAGAGAAAACTCCGTCAGTTTTGTGTTTTAAGGCTTGCGCGCGTCTACCGAAACAAAAACTGTAAACAATTTTTTTTATTTTCATGATCTATACTTCATAAGCTTTAAAGGTTTTTGCATAGTTTAATATGGTTTCTTTAAAAGTAGCGAGTGTACGACCATTTTTCCGGAAGGCACCCTATTTTGTTGACAGTACCTTAATTGACCGAAAAGTAACTTTTTGATCCTGGATAAATTTATTTTCTGGTAATTGTCCTTTCTGTCTTATTATAGGAAGAGGTATTTATTCCTAGTTATTTTCTCTGGGATACCCAAAACGCCATTTAGTGAACGGCGCAGTAGTAGCGACGGAGAAAATGCTGGCCGCAAGGTTTGGGTCGCGTCACACAACTCGACCGAAATTTTCGACTCAACCCAGATCTCCCTCCTTTTTCGCTCCGCCTCTACTATCGCGCCTTTGATCATCTCGCTCCGATTTACAAAATGAAAGCCTAGAGCACGCTGTTGAAAACACCTGCACAAGTCTACGCGTGTTGTGAAAGCCCTATAGCAAGGTCAGAGTGTTAACGCTCTCCAGGCACCTAGAAGGGAATGCCTTTGAACACTTGAACCCTTTGAGTGTTGAAGCACTCTTGATAAGATCACCTTCAGCTTGTGGTTTCTTTTTCTTAGCTACTATCTTCCCACAAGCATTACTTATGCTTCTCTTCCTTGGGAATTAAAATTGTATTCAATTGCCGTGTTCGAGTTGTGAATGCACACGAAATGCGTAAAAGTTGCTCGAGGCGTAGCCGAAGGCAACTCTTATTGTGCACGCTTATCTCTTGCTCTCCAAACTTTCAGTGTGCACGCTAACTCGATACAGGAACTCTAAGAATCAACCAATTCTTAGGTTTCTGTATCGTTATAAATTGGAACAACCATCTAAAAGAATAGATGACAGCAGTCATTTATTGCAAATTTTAACGTTACGTGAGTAACAATCAAACAGTTTCAGTTTCTGCGGTTTTTTTTTCCGCGAGTGTATATACTCGCGTGCTATTGGTTCATTCAAATTAATATTCCAGACATATTTTAGGTGTTCACGGTTTAATGAGTCACACACACAGCAATCCTGGATGATCATTCCCCATCACACTCTTATTTCTCCTAGACATCTTTATGCAGTGTTCAGAGATCATAAAGATGGCTTGACATTTACATTCCCTGGTGAGCCGTTATCTCTCTTAGACTCAGAGATATAATGTCCAGAATATTGTGCTTATCAAAGATTATGCATAGAACATGGCAAAGAACGACACCAGGTTATCTTATTTGCTGTGGTGCAATATGTGCCTTATACCGGCTAAAAATCAATGAGAGCTTTATTTCAATCTTCTGGTGTCATCTGGCTGTTGGACAGAATTATTTGAAATATATAAAGCAATTTTAAAGTAAGTCTTGAAAGTAAGGATTGCTCTAATTTCATTCGTGTTTTTCCAAACTTCAAGCAGTTTGCTTGTTTTCACTTTGAGTTCCCATTGGCTGATGATGACGTAAGCCTTTATTCTTATTGCTTGCCGGGATTACTATGGTTTTGTTTTTTTCCACATGCAATTGAAAACTGCTCTTTGAAATCCGCTATATGACTGAATAATTTCTGCAGCAAAGAAGACCATTGACATGGCGCCTATATTTCTATTTAGTCATCATGAAAACTGAAACTAAGGTAAGGGGGAAGAACGTGAACTTGATCTTGAAACATAGTTAACATTATTTGATGTATTTTCATATCTAAAGTGTCGAAGAGAATATAAACTGATCTCTTGTAGTGTCTTAATCCCTAGCCCATGCAGTCCTCAGCTGGTCGAAGGCTCAATCATTAGAAAAGAATATCCTAGGCCGTGCTGGTCCTGATGTCAACTTGGGAAAACGAACTTTCCTGTTAACACACTGAGGAACGAGTATAACTCTAGCCCTCACTCCTTTAAGTGAGGAGACGGGCCATGCTATGCTACACTCCAACAACAATATTTGGGTTCTAGGGTCATTATTTCAAGCCGCACGCAGCAGAACAAGTCGCCAAAGTAGTTGGTGAAGGCAAGTTGCTGTAGTATACGTCACTGACATATACACTGAGATGCATTTTGCCGGGAGAACTTCGCCGATTTGCCAGCGCAGTTACTGGAGGACCTCCTCTATATGGACCCCCTTTGGGAAATCATCGAGGATTATTTACTACTAAATTTTTAAGTTTCGTTATTGTGTTTTCTTATTGCATGCAAAGTAGATATTTTTGCAGTTTTGAAGTTGTTGGATACCCAGTATCATCGAGGTCATGGATTATTGCAGGGTTTTCACCCTTGTTGTAAAATAGTACACTATTGATTCTTCAAGGGAGATTGAAACTGAAAATGTGGGAGCTAAAATATGCATTCCTAAGGGTTCTTGATTGCAAGTTTTTCTTGCAAGCATGTAGATTTCAAATTTGAGTTTAGCTGCAGCAGTGATTTTAACTTCAGAATCAGTAATACGTGATGATTAACAAGCTATGTGATAAATAAGTTGGCATTTGATCTTTCAAGAAATTTACAAATTTACATAATCTGGTTGTGCTATTGAAATCATATCCTAATCGCTTGTAAAAAGTATCATATCATAGAATTAGACATGAATATTAAGATGCTCATTTTCTTTTAATCGAAAGAAATCGAAGAAAACAATAACAAGCGTCTGTGCTGTCAAGTTCTTTTTTGAAGTTGTGAAAATGAAACCCAGATGGGTTTTATCCAAGTCCCTTCAAAACGGTTCTGAAAAGGGCACTGCAGTCATTTGTTATTCAGGTCAGGGTGGAGAATAGAGGAGTCGGATAGAAAACATAAAAAATGTGCTTCACAGTTTACGCAAAGATCTATTTTTAGGATCGGTTCAGTCAACACAAACTACGTCCTCGGAACGAGTATTGTAACTATAATAGTCTCATTCTTCGATGATCATGTAGTTTGTTGTAAGAAATAGAACGTTTCCTAAAACATCGTGATGTAGTTCCTTCAGACGGTTAGCTTGACAGAAGCCCCGTAAAATAAATATTCCCAACGACTATCCAGCACTGCTTACTTATTGATGCCTTTAAAAGGAGTCGGTGAAGTAGAAAGGTACGAAATTAGCATTTATAAACAATAGAGAATCATTTTCGGTCAGTGGCGCTAACCGAGACGGTGCTAAGTTCTTTCGTTGACCGAGAGATATAGGAGAAAGCACACCATCCAAGCAATGGCACTGGTAAAAACCTCGATGCGGGGTGATCAACAAGGTCTTGTAAGTAATGTCACACATGAGCAATCTACTCGTGCTTGCACGAACCTTTGAGATCTCTAAGCAGTCGAAAATAACCTTTAAGAATAATAATGACAATGATGATTATCATAACAGCCCAGTAGTGCTCATCATATGACTCGGTTTGTTGATGTTATGCTTACTATCCTGAAAGCGTATCTCATATTCATGAAAGGGCAACAACACTCTTTGAGCAGTCAGAGCTCTGACATTCAAGACAGAGGGCTCTGTATCTGCGCTACTCCATAAATCTGTTGACTTTTTTGGACTTACATCAAATTTCGATATGTCAAGGGGAGTGGTAAGGATGAAGGAGGAATGTTTCTACGAATTTAGTAACGGGCACTTAGCGCCAGTTGATGTGTGGGAAAGGTCTAGTGAATCAGCTTATGTGAATGGATCGAAAATTTCTTGATACAGAGCGCAAATGTTGTGGCATTCTTACAGGCTGGTTATTGCGTATTGAAGATCTTTTAAAAGTTTTGAACTGCGTAAGTCTCCTAGGATCACATTTAATTGATTGCGAATGTGTGGAACAAGTAAATTTAATTTCTAACTTGGGTTAATCAGCCTCTCCAACAAATAAGGTAGAGCAAGGATAATCGTCGTCAACACAAACGAAAACGATGTGTTAGCAGTTTCA